CTTCTGAAGAGCAATGCTCAACCTTAAACTTCAGCACGGCACCCACACGCCTTCTGGCGGCCCAATTCCCCCTGCTTTTGGATGCAGTTTGCACAGGAGTGGACTGCACGTGGTGTTGCACCTGCATCTCGGGCTTTCGAAGGCAGCACATTCTGACATTGAGGTGTTTGTGTGCCTGGATGGGGGACCTGTGCAGCCTCATAGCCAGGCAAGGTGAGGGGAGGAGAGGTGAGAGAAGACGGGTACCCTTGTTCTGCTGCAGCTTCTGCAAATCACTGAATCACAGAATGGTTGAGGTTGGAAGGGACCTCTAGAGATCATCTAGTCCAACCCCTCTGCTCCAGCAGGGACACCCAGAGCACGTGGCACAGGGTGGCATCCAGGTGGGTTTGGAAGATCTCCAGAGGAGACTCCACAGCCTCTCTGGGCAGCCTGTTCCAGGGCTCTGGAAATGCCTCAGGTCAGCTGGGAAAGATATTTGCATCCACAGACTGATATTGGTTATCTTTTTCAGAGGCAAAGTTATTTTATTATAAATTACTCAGTACAATTAAAACATTAATGCATCCTCAAAAGAGGATGCTGGGGCCTGACATGGTGGATGGGCTCTTTGCTGCGGTCTCCTTCCAGGTTGGCCGTTACTTCTAGTGCTTTTTGCCCTTTCTGTCCCCCATTTATTTGCTCCTGACTTTTGCAGTTTCTGAGAACAAAGCCCTGTGCCACCCCTCTTCTGTGGACTCTCTCTCAACCAGTGCTGCTACAGAGGACCATGTGTCCATGGGAGGATGGGCTGCGAGGAAAGCTTTGCGAGTTATCGAACATGTGGAACAAGGTACGCTTGAGATGCTGATTTGGAGATGCATCTACTCTATATAAACTAAGCTATGATATTAATGCCATTCTTCCTAGCTATCATTATTATTAATAATAATAATAAAGTTCATGACTCTTAAATAGCTATTCAAAGATACTGTATGAAGTATATATTTTTTCAAGCACGTGGATCTTTAACAGAGATGTGGTAAATCTGAAGTTGAGTGTTCCTGTGAAATAAAAACTGCTTACTACAGGACAGTAAGCCGATCTTTCCTCTTCTTTTGCTTAGAAGAGAATAAGTATTCTCTGCTGTTCTTTTATTTTATTTTTTATTTTGAGGCAGATGGTGTGCTTAGGTACAGATGTTAGCTGTTACTGGAAAAACAGAATTATACAGAACACAAAAATACTAGCTTAGGTTTATACATTTGAGTACTCTGAAGGCTTAAAGTTCTATAAAACTTTTTTTTCTTTTCATGTGCAGACAAATGAGTTTGTAACCGCAGAAACAAAATCTTACATGCAGTTACTTGGGTGTATTGGTTCATATGAAAATAAAAACTAATGCCCAAAACTGATCTGTTGTTAGGTGGGCAGATACTGTTCAAATGTTTCCAGAAAGAATAAAAATCTGCTTAGAAGTTCTTGTAATTTTATCAGCGCTTTTTGCAAGACATCTGATCTTTCAGCTTTCATGAGCAGAACTTTCTTTTATAGCTCAAGACTCCCTTTTTCATCTATGCTAGTCTGAAAGAAGCTTTCTGATTTACAGTGCCCATTAGCTGGGGTATTCAAGATACCCTACATGAGCTATTTACGGATTTAAGACTGCAGTAATTAGGATTGCTTGGCATATTTAAAAGTTTGTATGGCAGACCACCCAGAATGTGCTTTTTACAACGTGTGATACCCCCCAGCACCATTCCTAAGATGACCCTGCTGCAGGTTGCCCATCTGGACGTGTGGATCCACTGAGGGTCTTTTCGTCTTACTAGAAACAATGTCATATTAGCTAGAGCAAACTCCAGGTTTTATAAAGGAAGCCTCCTGTTGGAGGTTCTGCTAAAATCTCTCTTGTGCTGCTCTGATTTCCTAGTTCTGGCAATTGAGCTGCTTGCAGCCTGCCAGGGCATTGAATTCCTACGCCCTCTGAGAACGACCACCCCATTGGAGAAGGTCTACGACCTTGTGCGCTCCGTGGTGAGGTAAGATCAGATAAACGCGTTGCCCAGAGTTTACCACTTTGGAGACCTGCTGACTGCGGCTGTGGTTAATGTTTGGCCGATGTTCTCCTTACAGGCCTTGGATGAAGGATCGCTTCATGGCCCCGGACATTGAAGCAGCTCACAGGCTGCTGGTGGAGCAGAAGGCAAGTGTTGATTTTTTGCACGTGCCTTATGATCAGTGCTCAGGAGGACTCTGCAGCTCCACTTTGGAAGTACCTCTCCGTATGTTCAGTACCTTGATTCACTTCATCTATCCACACGCTCTTGCGCAACCTTGCTCTGATTGCCCCCGTTTCTGCTGGTCCCACATTTACATTGCTCTGAAGTTCTCGTCCCAGTAACATTTCCACAGAGTTTCCTGAACTTGTGTTGATGTCTGAAGGAGAATTCTTTGTTTGCTTCTGACTTGGTTGTTTTACTTTCTCCTCCTGCAGGTGTGGGAGGTGGCTGAACCTTACATTGAAAAGTACAGGAAGGAACACATCCCTGAATCGAGACCTGTTTCACCAACAGCCTTCACCCTGAGGTCACTGGCAGTGAACACATGTGATCACAATCATCAAGATGAACTTTAACAGTTGCTAGCATCTGGTAGAGAGTAGATTTTTGCGGGACTTTGTTTGGGGATGGCTCTTTTATGGGAACTCAGCATGGTTTTTTTCTGGGAATGCACAGGAACTGCTTCTGTAGTTCAGAAGCACATATGGATTAGCAGGGAAACGCCTCACCGGATCTGAACCTGTGAAAGACAGTTTTGTCATGACAGCGCGGACAATCATGACCATGAATTCAGCTGAATTTACTGAGCTTCTGAACACATTAAGACCACTTTTATGAAGATCACTGTTGCAGAACCAATCTGCTGTATTCTGATGGACTATGCTTAATGTGGCTTCCCAAAGGAGCCTATAGGTTCACACCTGCAATAAATACAGTGAGATGCCACATGCAGCTGTAAATGTGGTTCCCTTTCTGATGTGCTGATGAAAACTGAAGGCAAGAGCTTAGTTTGGAAAATAAAAGGGCCAGGGAAAGGTACAGGCTGTTTCTGCAGGACAAGGAAGCGGTGTTGGAGTGGGAGAGAGGAACAAGCCCTGGGGCGATAGCATGGAAGTCACCACGCACCTGCCAGCTCATGTGTTGCAACCTGCCCCATGTTACAACACCTAATGTGTGACCGTGAGGCAGCGGAGCCGGGACACATAAATACTAGTTTGTGTAAAACTGGCTGCTTTGAACAGCTTCAAACTTGTGACAGCACAGGCTTGCTGCCCCCAGCTGCAGGGGCTTCAGCACGGGTTGGAAGCCTTCCCAGGAGGACTGTGTAGGTACCCAGGCAGGCAGAAATGCTGAACGGAGCGGCCACAGCGCTGTATGGGGCCACCTTCATGTGTCTGTGTGCTGGACAATGTCAAATGTGCCCCGAAAGCAGGATTAGCAGCAGCTGGAGAGCTGGCACGTAGGCCCCTCACCTGACCACGAGAACTGGTGAGTTGTGCAGGGCATCCTGACCCCTGCCCTGAACAGGGCATGGGGGCTCTGGTTACTCCAAGAATCTCAACATGAGCATGAATTGATGGCTCCTCAAACTCACTAACTCTGGGACCCGCCATACCTACCCCAGGCATGCGAGCTCCCAGCCCAGCCTCTTCCTTCTGTGCCTAATATGCAGCATCTTTGACCACCACCTTATGAACCAAGCATAAACCCTCCTGGCTCTGGCCTCTCCTGCATGAAACGAACTACTAAGTGAAAGTGTGAGTACAAGTGTGACACTGCGGGCTACAGGATTCTTAAACTATTTGCCTCAGAGGAGGGCCCAGTCACATGTTTCTTTCAGCAAGATTTGCTCAAGAGGTTCCTAGCCCCTGCTCGGAGGCCTTGTTCCTGCAGGCTCCCAAGGCTGTGGGAGCCAACATAGTGAAGGCCACCCCTGCAGTGAGCCAAATTAAAAGACAGCAAACAAAGCTTTCTACATTTTGGGGGCGGGTGTGTGCACGTGCTAACACTGAAGGTCAGGGCTGTGCCTTCCACGGCGGCTGAAAAGATGCTGCAATTGCAGCACAGCCAAGGCAAGAGCCCGTTGCATAATGGTGAGAGCAGCAGAGCTGGCCCTCAGGACCTGCCCCACCAGCTGAACCACTGCCAGACCACTCCATCCTCTCACTGCCAACCTCCTGTTAATTACACACTGGGGTGTGCTCTGAAACAGCTACTGCACGAGATCAACACCAGCAGGCAAGCATGTGGTTTGGAACTCCCATCAGAGCTCCTGTGTGACAGCAGACTTCCCCCACATCAGTACACCTGTTCCTGGCCGGTACAGATGTTAGGGATTTTCCATCTTGAGCGGTGAAAGGCTTTAGGCATTTCAAGGCTTAAATACTGACACTGCTTGACAGAGCCAGCATGTGGACCCTGCCACCACCCGTGTCCATCAGAGCCTTTGGGACTACTGAGTATGTCAGTTCAAGTCCATCTTCCAGACCTGGCTGCTGCCAAGACAGCCCGCCATGCAGGAAACAGAATTAAAGCACAGTGTGAATGCAAGCAAAATGTTTAACTGCAGGGTGACATTGCAGGGCCTGGGCTCAGCCTCTCCCTCACCTCTGCTTCTGGCCTCAACACACCAAGATTAGTGCTAACAGCTCTGCCCTGCATGACAGCTTACTTGACATGGCTCTTCCCAATAAATCCTACCTTGATCCCAGTGGCTCCACTCTGTGCTCTTTTAATATAATAATTTTATAGATCAAAATTTCACTGAAAATTTATTCATTTCAGGAAATAATCTTTATTCAGAAGAGATACAATAGCAATTATTTTTATGCACTGGCAAGAAGGATAACTGATATGAAGGGTGGGTAATGCATGATAAACTTGATTTGAACAAAAGGGCTGGTAAAATGAGCAGACCAACAATTTAGCAGTAAAATGCCCATTCAATTTCTTTGTTGTCCTTTTGTAACTGAAATATTCAATGCCTATTTGATTATAACAGTTCCAAAATGATTGCCTTCTTTCAGTAACTGCTCATTATCCCACACTTCTCATTTCTATAAACGATTTTTCCTTTAACTATAACATAGTCAATCAATGCCTGATGTCCCCCAAACTGGTAAATCAAGTGTTCCCACCTGAAAAGACAACAAAACATTTATAAATATAAAAGCAGGTCACATACATACCCAGTATATCCAGCTAACAAGAAAAGTTTTGTTGCACCACAAGAAAACACTATTTCTTTGTTTACATGTTGTCTCTTATTATAATGAACACAGTGAGTTAATAAGCAAACAAGTAGAGAATTCCTCACACAAAACAGAATTTATCTAAAAAATAATACCTGTTTATTAAGGTGCAGATTACTTGTAGTTTTAGCCCTAAAAGTCTTTGGCTGTATTTTCCCCTGAAGCAATTAATATTTGAGGAGGGAAAAAAAAAATCAGGTCTAAGATGCTAGGTAGCACAGTCCCTTTTCTGCAGAGGAAAACAATTTCAAAAGAAACATAAATCCACTAACTTCTCCAGTATCCACAAGATGCGGAGTGCAATTTAATATAAAGGACTTTTTTTCCCAAGGAACAGAGGAAGAACATACCTTGTTGAATTTATGACAATGACATCACCCTGTTTGCCAGCCTCTATGGAGCCGTGTGTGTCCGATTTTCCCAGGGCATAAGCTGCGTTAATCGTGGCCGCTGCTAGTGCTTCGTTCATGGACATCTTCATGTTTACACAGGCCAGATGCATCACCACAGGCTGGAAGGAAAGTCAGGTGCAAAACGTGGGTTACCAGTAACATAAATGCATCTGTCTGGGCCACAGTCTGGGGCACCCTCCTCCCACCAAGTGCCGGAGCATGATTTAAGTCTTGGGGATTCCAAGGAGAACTGTGAAACCATCAGCCTTGCAAGACTTTATTCTAAGCCTCTCAAGCACATATGAAGGATCAGAACCCTTCACGTTTCAAAAATTCTGGCCAAAAAAAAAAAAAAAAAAAGACCCTGCCAAGTCACACAAATAAGCATTTTAAATAGCCTAAGCCAGACATACAGCCTCTTTGTGGAAATGAAGAATGTTTTAAGTATGCAAGAACTATCCACGTGTTGTACTAGTAGGAGGCTTAATACCTGTGCAGTCATATGTATTAGGATAACTTACCATTGAAAAACAGTATGCATTAGGATTAAAATCACTGCCAAGAGCAACTATAACTCCTTCTTTTAACATCTTCCTAGCTTGAGGTTGCTTCAGTCTAGTGGGAGAAAGACACTTGTCAGTAAAATCCATTTAGCTGTTACATGGTGAACTACAAGAGCAGAAGTAATTACTGAATTTAGCTACATGGATGAATTTGGTTAAGCTAATCATGTTGGGGGAAAAAAAGGCAAATTCTGCTCATGGCTCTCTACCTACTGCCCTACTACCTACATAAATGGACACTTTTTTTTTTTTGGCAGAAATAGCGTTGTGGTGATAGCCACTTGCAAGCATCAGGCTCCAGACCAAGGCAATTCTGGTATCTATCAAACCCTCAATGACTTAAGGATTTACATGATGCAAATCTTTTCTCAAAGACAGACTTCCAAATATGAAAACAGGCAAAACCAAAACAACGTTCTCCTCTTGATTTTGTGGGCAATTTGAAAGTTTTCTTAGGCTATGAATTCCCTTTGTATAGTACACATCAAAGGATTTTTCTCACTTAGCAGTGGTAATACAAAAGATACCTTCACTAGCTTAAGCATTAGCTATGACACAAAAGTCTAATTCTTCCACTGACCATTTTACAAACAACCCAGTGGGGTCTGTAACTTTCTGGTAGCACAGGAATCTATCTTCAGAGACTCAGCCCTCAGCCATAAGTAAAAACCCTTTACACCATGAGCATTATGTACCAAGTTTACATTATTTGGTAGGTTGAAAGTATCTTTGCAACAATCCCCAACTGAGCTCTGATCCAATCAAAACTTACACTTACAAGCAACTTCAGTACCTGGAATAGCCTTCTCAAAATTGCCCAATCACTGGGTAAAGCAGGGCAATTTTAGGGTTCACAAGGCTGAGGGGCAGTCTCAGGAAAGATACTTTCTAAGAAATTTTTAGCTGCAGTTGTGGTAAAGACAACAGCAGCAAACACAGTTTCTGGAAATAAAACTAATTAACAGTAAAAATGAAAATATGGGGGTAGCATATCATTTTGAAGGCACTGCAGTTAACACAATCTCAGTAACAAGATATTACCTTGTTTTTGAGCTTTATTTTTGAGGAACTTTTCAGCCTCTTACTGAAAGCTTAATGCCCATTTGGGTCTTTCTATGTGGGACACTCTTCACCGATCCCAACAGAGTTAGAGGCTAGACTCAAGCCTACGCTTTTTGTGTTAAGACACCAGGAACACAAGCCTAGTTTTGCTATTACAAAAAGTCTGTAGTTTTCCTCCCACAGAGTGGCCTTACCTTAGCATGTAGGCAGTGGTTGGTAAAAGGACAGCTGCACACTTAGCTCTTGCCATTGCATTGATACCTTCATCACTCACTTCTTCCAGGTGGCTGATAGCCTGGGCTCCTAGTTCAGCTCCAAGCTAAGCAAATTGACAAGAAAATTATTCATGGCTATTAGCTGATTCAGGTAAGCAATATTGTTATCAGGTGATTGGAGGAGACAAATCACTACTTATATAGTTTTTACCCCCAAAATATCACAGAGAAAGCCTGAAAGAGAAAATGAATTGTAGAGACAAAATATTTGCCAATTCACTGCAGGAAAAGCTACTCACATAAAGGTATTACCATCCAGTCTGAGTGCAAGCATACCTTCAGAGGAGTATTTAAGTGATGAACAACATGCAACCTATGGGACAACTCTCAATAAAACCATTACTAACTTCCCATTCATAAGGTACTCAGCAGAAGAGGGTTGATAAAACAGACACTAGTTACAGAGTAACTCCTGGAACTGCTGCCTTCTATGGTGAATCACCAAGAAGGCTTTTATGAATAATCAAGATTTCATTTTTTAAATACAGCAGAGAATCGCTTTAGCAGACCCCCACTGGAAGGAGGCAACGTTCAAGTGATGGTGAAACAGACTCACAGAGACTTTCTTTATTAAGACAGTTGCGAGTCAGTTCTCGACTAACCCATCTCTGAGTATGTGCTAACTGTGCATCTTATTTCATTCTGCTGGGTCATTTAATGACATTTTTCCTTTTGTATATAAACTGCATTTTTGTCATTCTTTGGTTCATGGATATCCATCTTTCCCACTTGTATCACATGCAGAAGATAAGCAAAGTCAATGTTTGATTAGGCAGGGCAGGTTGCTCCAAGATCAATGACTCCAGGTCCTTAACTCCAAAACTGCACAAAAACTGCACTTTTCTTTCATCTATGACAGGTCTATCTTATAAAGCCCTAGAAAATAAAACGTTGGTTTTGAAAACTGCAATTATTCCGAAGATTCACTCCTCACAAAAGCAAATGACAAGCAAAAATGGCTCAACTGAATGACAAAACACAAGGTACCTCAGCAGATTTCATTGGGTGGAGTTCATCACCATGGAAGTTAATCTGTAACCCCATATCTTTTCCAGCCTGAAGAATTCTTCTAGTAGAATCCAGATCAAAGACTCCCTTCTCACAGAATACGTCTATGTTGTCAACATCTATTTCACCACTTAGTTTGAGTTCTTTCAGTTTAGGGAGATGGTTATTGATAATGTCATCTGTGGCTTCAGTAGCAGTTTTCCCTCTATTGAGAAGAAAATGTTATAAAGTCATAAGAATAACATCTTTGAAGTCTGGCAAGTATTCAAATCACATATACAATTACTAAATTACTGAGAAAAAGACGCAAATACAAATCACTCAAAAACCAGTCAGTATCAAAAAAAAAAAAAAAAAGCTTTTCCCTTTGTCTCCTAAAAAAAGGAAAATAATTTATTTTTAAACAAAAATAAAAAACTACTGAAACTCATGTATACTCATATATGACTTATTTTCCTTTCAAAGAATACTAGATTATACTATATGTTCTTTATCAGGTTGACTTCTCTACGTGCTAACTAATACATAAGACATTTTAAATTCTTGTGCATTATTTAGTCTGACCTACATATACTGTATCCTAAAACACAACTATTTTAAATATATAACACAATTCATGCAATGTTTTTATGTAACTATCAAAGCTCAAGAGGGACGTGCAGCACAAATTGTTATTTTAAGTTTACCTCTGCTCCTCCTGTGATGCCAAGCAAAGTGATTGCTAGTAAGATTTTCTAAATAAAAAGGGCCTCCTGATTTGAGATGCAAGGTCAAAATCATTTACAACCTCTTTATGACACAAAGATAGCCCAGGAGAGACTAGCAAATGCATTTGAAAGGCAGCAATTCCAAAATATGTAGCAGCATTATTACTTTGCACTTTTAAAATCTAAAGATGTGTGAGACATTGAAGTTAAATGGGTGCCATCTCAATCCCCATTTTCAGGCACCACAGAACAAGCACAGACCAGAATTCCACATAAGGGGAAGTTCTGAGTTTTACAGCGATAGTAAATTCAAGGAGCCAAACTCTGTTCCAATTTACAAATGAAGTTGTGCAATTAAAAGCAAACAAACAAACAAACAAACAAAAAACAGAGCAGAATCGGATATAATTGGCTTTCTTTTGTTCATCTTGCAAATAAAAATTATCAAAGTCTGCCCAAAACAAGTTTCCAAAATGTGGAGGGGGGGAAAAGAAAAAAAAAGTAGTAGTGCTGACAAGTCTGAGTGCAAGCCTCTCTTAAGAGGCTCCCAGCACGGAGGCTGAATAAGAAAGACCAGCTACTGCAAGATTTGTAATACTCCGGAGGTGACACCCTTATCAGTTGAGCTTTCTGCTGAAAGCTGCCAAGCCTGCAATATTAGGAGAGCCTCAAATGTAAGAGCCTAGCAAGCCAACAGCTTAGCAAGAAGTTACAAAACTGTTCTGGCAGCAGTCCCAGCCAGGAGGTTCTAAGGAGCCTTTTTTGTGAGTGAACATAATGTTGTTCTTCTGTTCCATGTTAAATAAAATAATCATAAAGTGATTTAAGGTTATCAAAATTGGTGGCAATAAGTTTTCATGACCGTGATCACTGCAGAATGACTGGAAGAGTATTAGATACTTTATGGCTATCTTGTCAAGAACTGCTGTTCAGTAGCTATAGCAAAAGAGAGCTTTACTTTTTAAAACCTACATAAATCGAGAAGATTTAAGTAAAAACAAGTAAATCTTTTAAGTGTTTGTATGATTTATGCAGAACTGAACTAAGGAGCAGTTTTACAACATATAATGATGAAAGAAACCTGGCACAAGCATAAGTGACTTGGAAGGTGTCTGTTTAATGGCTTCCAGAATATCTCAATATAGTATACTTGCCTATTTAACACGTAAGATTTGACATATTTGTACATACTGTTACGTGGAATTTACTTTATTTTGGTGAGGAAAAAAAAAACACTCATTAAGGGATGGGAAAAGTCCTAAGAAAGTTATATGGTTGTAGTTTAGAACTCAAGTTTTATGTTATAGTTAAATCTTCCAAATTCTTATTAAAATTCCTTGACAGAATTGTCATTTTCAGATTTGTTACTTTATTTTAACCATTTTCCAATTGCTGAAAATGATAAAGAACTTCAAATAATTATTTGAAAAAAAAATGGTTTTGAATAATTATTATTAATGAAAGACATTTTACACTCAAAAAATTCACTCCAGGTAAGAGAGACTGGCCTGATATAGTAAATCTACTTGATTCAGGAAGCCATCTGTTATTAAGAATATTTAATTTACACACATCTTTGGCTCAGTTATATGCATAAGATGCATGCAATTCCTCAAAAACACAACTAAGATACTGCTTGCTAAAGCATGCAAGGATTAAATGCAACATATTCTTTCTGTTAGCTAATCAAAATCAAAACATGAAGCCGAGTGCAAGTTCCAAGGCTAGTGGCAAATCCAAGCAAAAGAACTTACTGTGAAGGAAACCCTGTAAAGGAAACCCTGGAATCAGTATTATGTTCAGTGAAAGAGCAACTGCACAGGTTACCTGTCACCTGGAGGCATGGATTCTGTGCTACGCTAAGGCTGGCATTATGTAGTCCTGTGTAAACAACCACTATTGTTTCAAATACTCTTCACTGTAGTTTAGAAGGGGTGGGCAGAAGAAACCTCTCTCAAAACAGCTGCCACATTTTAATGCAAAGCAGTAGTACTTAGAAAAAGCAAGGCAAGCAAATCCCATTACTTTGGAACAGAATGAGCTCCACAGTACGTTGATGAAATGCCAATATCCATGGATCGCTTAGCGCGTTCGATCACCCTGAGCATTTTAAGTTCTGTTTCCAAGTTTAAGCCATATCCACTCTTGCACTCAACCAACGTGGATCCTGCTAGGCGCATACGTTCCAGCCTGTGCCTCAAAGTGTTGAAGAGCTCCTCTTCGGGGGCGTTCCGAGTGTGTTCCACAGTGAAATGTATTCCTCCTCCAGCCTCGTGAATCTCCATGTATGAAGCACCTGCCAGCTTAAGGACAAAAAAAGAAAATCTCAAAACAATTAGCTGTTAAATGTGAATTCTCTATTGCAGGGATTGTGGGGTGACGGAAAGCACCCTGAGGTCTCTGCAGTGCAAAAAAAGAGAAAGAGAGAGAGAGAGAGAGAGAGAGAGAGAAATCCCTACAAATTCTCCCCTTTTGCTTCCATTCCCCTGCCATATAAGCAAATAATGATGCAAGAAGCTAGATAAGCAGGATTATTCTGAAGTTTTTCTTCCCCTAAACCCGGGGGAAAACTCACCTCTAGTTAAAAATTTCACTGAGGGGAAGAGGAAGGCAAGATTATGATAGTAATAGCAGGTGGCACTCTTGTACTGGCCTCCACAAATGCAAAAATAAACCAAGCCTGGCTGCAAAGATACTTTTCTTTCAACATCCCAGCCTACCTTCTCAGGTACACTAACAGAAATTATCTTGTTGTCTACGGATGAAAAGCAGGATTCAACACAAAACAGGAATAGTTACGCATAAAAAAAGAAAGCAATGAGAAAAATGCAGCTCTTAATTTTATGATATTACCTTCATTGCAAACTCATGAACCCTGTCACCAGCCCACACCGGATGTGTATGTGCATCTACCAAGCCTAAAAGAGACACCAAAGCAAATGTATACTCAAGTTAGCTCACTGTGCAAGGGAAAAACTAGTGAGTATGGAAGTAAATTAAAGGGACAGCAGAAATTCCTTGTGCAGCCTCTACCGCTTGAAAAGAAAGAAAAACACAAAGGCAAAACCCTAGGATTTTCTTTAAAGACTACTGATTTTATTTTAATTGTGTTTAAGGGTATTTACATCTCTATGTGAACCGTACTTTTCTATTGAAATACATAAGTTGCTCAGTTTCTTATGTTGATGCTTTGAAACTACTGGAGAACTGAGAAATTACAAATTTGAAATAGTTCATTAGGCCTCAAGGTCTCTTTAAAAAATGCAAGGTGCTTAAGTTGAACTTGGTAATCTACCTTTTACCCTGGCAATCACCCACTGACTCCACGAGGAAGTTTTTCTGAGTTGTGAAACCAATAGCATTGAGCACCAGCATCCACTTCACATGGAACAGATGTTTAGCAGCTAACGTGCTAACATTCGTTGCGAAGTTTAAAATATAACACACTCAGATTTACTTTTTTAAAGGAGTAATTTTTAGGGTATGTTAGTGACTTAAAATCCTGCCCTGTCTCTGTGCCTCCAACTGGATGTGGGCAGGACAGACATATTAAGCTCTACAGCTGAACTGCTGATGAACAGAAAGGGAAGAGAAGGGAAGAAACTCTTAAAGGTCACTCAGAGGACCGGTATGTTGTATTCGCCTTCTCCTACACCCCAATCAAACCCAAAATAGACCTCAGTTTAAAAAATGGTATTACATAAAAGTGACTTTCATGGTATTTTACAAAGAAAGGTGAGTGTGGGATTGGTGGCGTGACTCAAATTTGTCAAACAGACCAACTCATTGAAAAAAGGCTGGAAAATGAAAAGGTCAGAATGGTAAATGGTGACTGAAATGCTCATTTAAAAAAAAAAAATCACTGGAGATGGTCAAGGAAGCTGTCCGGACAGACCTTCTCAGGATTGCTCACATATATGGCTGGTTTCAAAAAGGTATTCAGCTGCCTAAATTCAATGCAGATGTCTACCTCCCCACTGATTTCAATTAGAAATTTTGCACCGTTTTTAGATCTAGCTTTGAAATTTGTCTAATTTGAAACAGGCTTGGGATAACAAGACAAGTAGCCTCACTCATGAGAAACACCTCTGGGTGGCCAAAAAAAAAAAAAAAAGCCACTGGCAACAGTCTTGTTATTAAATGCAAATAAATTACTGCATTATCAAATCAGAACTGATTACACAGGGAAAAGAGCTGAGGGACTTTCAATGCACAGGTACTTTGTCGCTAAGTACTTCCAGTCATTTTCCCTTGAATCACTATGAGAAAATACACCTACCTGGTAATATGCATTTCCCAGAGCAGTCAATTACACTGTCAAACGATGCTCCTGAAAACTGACTGCGAATAGCATCTGCCTGGCCCACTGCTTTGATGAGGCCATCTCTGGAAATGGCAGAAAATGAACAAAACAGTTTGCATTTGTCAATGACCATTTGCTGAGCTTGACATTTAGACAGAGCTCCCAAAGCAAAAATGATTTAAAAGAGCAGCTTTTAAAAATGAGCAAATCATTATTTGGGAACTGCTAGTAGGACTGCAGACACAGAGAGGCTGTGGCTTGTTGATTTTATGGACGCACAGGAAAATGATATGGAAATACTATGCATTTCAAGCTGTCTGCAAAAATGCTTGCCCTGTTCTCTTAGGATGATATCTTGATGCCCTTTCGTTCCTGCTTCTGGTAGATAACATTTACTATCTTGGGGAGAATATACAAATGCTGCCTCCAGCAAGGATCTGCAGGGCATTCTTGTCCTCCAGAAAATGTTACTGTCCTTGCCAGCCCTCACTGCCTAGATCTGAATTGTACTTTGCTGTTAGGTTAAATCTATTTGGGATTGATTTTCAGTTTTCCTTTAGGAAATTCCTCAAGGACTGTATTGAGAATCCCAGACTGCACAAGATAGTTCACCTCCAGACAAGCATGGAGCTTCACCTCACCCACCCCAGAAAAACTTCCGAGGGCTCAGGTGATACCTCTGCTCCTTAAGCCTTTTCTTTCCCCATCTCTTTTTAAATCACTGGAATAATAACTGGGAAACATCACGTGGAGCTCACTGAAGTTCTCTCTATGCTACACAGCAGAAATTAAGAGGCAGATGCAATCACGGTTGGAGCTTTTGAAAACAGGAGAGAAAAGATGCGATTAGAGACATCAATAATTAACTTAAGCTATTAATTACTAAATCATTTATATGATTGCTACTAATTCATGACAGCACAACTAAAATAAAGCAGAGACAAAAAGGATACAGCAGATAGTAAGGCTTATCATCAACAACATCCCACAATCTATCTTTAAGAGGCTAGCAATGTAAATATACAATTTTAACAAAGGAAGTTATCAGGATGTTGACTGAAATAATCAAAATTATGAAAGCAGATTTCAGTGAGTCATTTCTATTGTTGCACATACCGAAGAAGACCAAGTATATCATACGGAATTTTTTCTTTTTTGGTCTTCCGCAAGATCTGTTATGAGCTGAGTATAGAGAATAATATCCTATATTTCGCAGAACACCCATTGAGCCAAGCACTGCTGACCAAAGGCACCCCTCTTTAGCTTATGCAGATGCGCTGCAAGCTCTATCCCCACACACTCCTAAAAACCATGTATTGAAACACCTCTAAACTGCCACTCAAACGCTACAGGCAGCAATCACAAAAAAGATGGGTGAGCTAGTTTAGCTAGCAATAAACACTGCTCATAATGTTAAAAAAGCAGACTAATAATGCTAAGGGATGTCTTCCACTCTGTCAAACCATAGCTGTGGTGGCTGAAGGGCAGTTCACAATCAGCTTTCCAGTCCCTGACTTTTAAAGATAAACACAGCCATCTCCACTGCTATCTGCTGCCAAGCCTTTAAATATACCGGCAGATAAACATGGATGTAAAATACCTATTCTAATAAATAAGGCACCTAGACGTTACAGATATGATTAAAGAACTGACTGTATATAAGAGCCAGCCACGCAGGTTCCCCGGCTTTCGCCCGGAGCCCAGGTGTGGCAGGCTCCCCCCCCCCAGGGCACGGCGAGGGCCGCCCCCCCCCCCCCC